GCCTGCCTCGGCTCGCCGCCTTCCCCGACTTGAGCTCTCTCTGCCTGCACTACTGCAACTTGGACCTTCGCCGGGACCAGCCGGGGCAGGAGGAGGCGTTCCGAGACCTCTCCCAAGGTCTGGCACAGCTGCAGGGACTGCGACGTCTCAGCCTCACGGCTCTGCGTTTGCCAGGACAACTTCGTGTGCTACTCAGGTATGAAAATATTTGTTCAAGATATGCTCAATGTGTTTTGTGATTGAGGTATCCATTCTCGCGGACATTTGAGGACATAAGATGGGCTGTCACTTGGATGCGCTTTTCTACCTCGGGTACTCAAAGGGCTTCACACACTGTTACCTACTGGTGACGCAGCACCCAGAGCAACTGGGGGTTCAGTATCTTGCTCAAGAGCACTTCGACATGGTTGCAATGGCCAGGGATCGAACCACCAACCTCCGGGTTGGGACACACCCACTCTAACCCTCATCCATTCTTTTTTGTTGTTGAGGCATGGCGTCCTTTTGAGCAGAGGTCTTTATTTGAGGAATAGCATCCTGTCTTTTTTTTTTTTTTTTTTTTTTATTGAAACGTAGCATCCATTAAGGACATAATGTCCTGTTAATTGTTATTGTTGCAGAGCATCTCATCGAGGCATCTATTAGAAGAAATGTATTTCAAGATATTGAAAATCTGATGTCTTTTGTTATTGAGGCATGCCATCCATTCGAAGTAAATTGAAGAAATGCAGTGTTGTAATATTCTTCAATGTCCTGTCCCGTTACAGTTCCCTGTCTCAGCCCCTGGAGGTGCTGGAGCTACCTTACTTGAGCCTGAGCGCGGCCGATCTGTCCTACCTGTCGTGCAGCCATCACGCCTCCACCCTGCAGCAGCTGGACCTGAGCGAGAACCGACTTGACGCCCACACGCTCTCCTCCGTGCGCCGCCTCCTGTCGCAAGCGTCGGGTAGCCTGCGCCACTTGTCGTTGAGCGGCTGCGGGCTCAGCGACGATCTGCTGGGCCCGCTGCTGCCTTCCCTGGGCTGCTGTTCATCCCTGCGAAGCCTGGCCCTCGCCCTCAACCCGCTGTCCACAGCCGGACTGGTGAAGACGGTGAGGATGGTGACCAGGGTGCCCTCTATGCGCCAGCTGCTCTATCCCAACCCATTGGAGGAATACCAGCCGGGACTTCCCGAGCTGCCGTCCAGCGCTCAGCTCCTGGACTGGCCCCTGGACGAGTCGAAGGACATCAACGCCACCAGCAGCCTCCTCAATAAAGTGCTGAAGGACTGCGGACGCTCGGACATTGTTCTCACTTGCGACCTGCTCAATTACGAGAAAGACTCAGCAGAGTGACGAACATGAATGCACTATTACTCTCTTCATAATTTTTATACTCAATATGAACAGAATGTAACTTTTGTCATATTTGTGTGCAATATATTCATGTATATCAGACGTGCGTTTCCAACTCATTTTGTGTCCCATGAACTAAATCGCTTGTCTGTCGATAGACAGATTTTAGAGCGACCTTTTTTTTTTTACTTGCATCAAAATCAAAAAAAAATAAACAAACAAAAAAAAAACCTAATTAAAATTAATGCTTACAATTAACACCCTAAATACATTTGTAATTTTATTTCTTTAAAAAAAAAAGCAAATTTTTAAAATGTAATGGAACAATGATGTCATCTTTCATGGTGTAAACATACTGGGGGGAATACTTTACATGATTCCACAGTTACATTTGGGCTGGAAGGAAGAAAAAGTTGATCACAAAAATAGGTCACACAAAATTTTGGCCCCCCGAGGCTTTGCAGGCACCGTTGTACACCATCCACACACACTTTCCGGTCCACATACAGTAAACGTCCATTCTATTGTATCTAAATGACTCATGACCTTTTCATAGTCTATTATCACCCTTGGTGGGAAGTTGATCCTACAAAGCCACCCGATTATTCAATGGAACAGTTGAGAGGACAATCAATTCTAAAAAGACTAGGATCGTGACAGCCCTAATTTACATTAAATACTCATTCGAATACTCTTCAGTGTCCTGTCATTTGTTTTTACAGAGTGGATGTCAGGAAAGACAGTACTCTAATATTCTTATCTTTTGTTATTGAGGCACAAGTTGAGGACATACAGGATTGTATTTTAACACCTTTCAATAACGTCTTTTTTTTTGAGGCATGGCGTCTCTCTGTTACCGAAAACTCCCAATTTGAGGAAACGGTAATCTCATCCCTCGTTATTGAGGAACGGTGTCCATTAGCGAGCGGGTCCCTATTTGGGTCAAGCAAGCTAATAATGTCGCAAGCGGGAAGACAAGAGCCTGTTCCAGTCTTCAAAGGTGTCAAATACTATATATACGACCTCTCCTGAATGAAGTACGATATACATCGTATTATGTATCACTATTATTATGCATGTCAACAGACGTGCCACCTCTGTAGTTGCTACATGTACTGCATGTCCGCCACAGGGAAGGCAAGTGGACGCCACTTTTACAGGACTACTCTGTACTCCTTTTTATCTGAGGTACTGTATAGGCCACAACAAGGACAACACCTGTTCTCACCTTTTTCCCCAACTCCCAACATACCTGAATGGGTGGTTATGTTAGTAAATTTCACTCCACATACACTTCGAATTGATCTTAAACTGTACCTGAATTATTGCTTGTGTGTATGTGTGTGCATGTGTGTGTGGAAATGAACAAAGAGTTGCACAAAGCAACAAACTCTCATTGATCCACAAGCGTAAAAGTTTATATTTACATATGGGAATATACACTATAAAAATACACGAGTGACAAAATGTACACAATCTATATGGGTCATCCTGAGTCCTAAATGACCATAAAAGGTGCTTCAAGGGATGTCAAAAGGATTCTACAATCTTTCCATCAAATGTTTTTTCTTCCTCACGACTTTGGATGGTAAACTCCTTTGCGAAATAGTGCATTTCTATTTTACCCGACTGGTGTGCTGTCGCTATTCCTGAGTAGGTGTTTTGTTGTCCTGGGTCTCCGAACGCAGCCATGGCCGTCAGCCTAAGAAAGTAGAATCAGGCAGTCAACGTCTGTTCAGATACATTCCAGACCTACCGGTACTTGCATTTGATGAAAATATTCGATCTCGAGAGAAAATATAAATACATATGTTTGTAGTAGTTTTATCCTTCGGACACACTTGAAACACATTTAAGCTTGTTCAAACACACTTTTTAGAAGTACGCAAGTTTGTGTGAGTGCCTTTATCATGCTCTCGGTTTTAAGTGTTTTGTTGTCGCCTTTTGGCATGTAAATACAATTACAACCCCCTTTTTTGGGAGGGGGTGTCTGTTGCTCAGTGATTTTCACGATTGACAGCGAAGCTCTGTCCCTACACTGTAGATCAGGGGTGTCAAAACTCAAATTTGTCGCGGGTCACATTGTAGTTACGGTTTGCCTTGGAGGGCTGTTTTGAATTTTGGGAAACCATATAAATGTTTAGTCACCTCCACGTATTACATACATTGCGCACAACAAATTGATGAATAACTAGTTTTAAAATCAGAAGTCAAGAACAATGACTGTTATTGTGGATTACATATGACCATTTGAAATTTTGGTTCAAACTTTAGCAAGCATCATGGAACATGACATGCTTGATTTGCTTTTGCGGGCCACATAAAGTAATGTGGCGGGCCAGATCTGGCCCCCGGGCCTGGACTTTGACACCTGTGCTGTAGATAAACACAAAACATAAAAATAAATCACCTGTCTTCATCCAGGTGCTCCGTGACCACAGGCGCCGTATCGCTCTTCAGCAGGTCCCAAACGTGAAGGCGGGAGGAGGCATCTAACACGCAGAAGACCGCCGGCCTTGTCTGGCTCCACTGCAGCGAGACCACTGCCTCGCCGGCCGTGCCGTCCATCCACTCGTACGCCGGTTTGTCATGGCTGACCTCGTGTAACCGTAGGCTCCCGTCACCGCAGCCCACCTGGGACACGACCATGGTAATGTTCAAAGCCTCGGTTAAGTCACAGTGCAGTCATTCATAGATTCATTCATGTTGCCCTTCTGTCATATCAAATCATGTATCAAAATGGACAGATATGAGCGTGCACTTGTTTCGTTCCACTTCAAAGGGGATTTAATTTCCCCACGCCCCCTCAAAATTCTACACACAACACTCCATAATTGAATTGGCATTTTGGATAATTTAATAGAAATTAAAAACAGAACTAAGGAATCATATGTGCATAACAATGTGCAGCTTTTATTGATGTACACTTGTCAGCAAACTAAGTCTCAATTTTTTTTTTTTCAAGTGCATAATGTATAGAGTTGACAAAATACACACAGATGTATGGATTTTAAATAGTTTGTTTTCTTGCATGAACATTAGTGGTTGTTGCTCACCAAAAACAATTGAGGCCTGAAAGGAGAAAAGTGGATGGCGGTGACATCGACAAGTCGGGTGGCCAACTCCTGCGAAGTGTAGCACTTGGGCAGGGCCTTCAATCCCTGAGTGGTGCCGTGACTGACTAGACCCTTGAGTGGAAATGTATCATTTTAAAGCATGCTCGAGTTTTCGTTCGGTATTTTGGCTCATGCTCACCAAATTAGTGCCGACGAAGAAATGACTGGGGTCAGTGGGGAGAAATTTTAAATGAAGTGACTGCGGCGGTCCGGTTTTGTCCACATGCGACAGTGACACCCTGCGAGGTAGATAAGGTCAGGGGTTATAAGATTCTCATCCAAAAACAACCCGGAACACTCGACACATCTACGCAGATATGTTGAGACGACAAAATAGCATAACAGCATTACAAACGAGATCTTTGCCCCCCGCCTTAGTTCCATTGCGGCAGCTGTGTGCCGCATTATGGCCTATTTTGAGAGGGCTCGCCTGGCGCTGACAAACGATCATCACACGCTGTTTATCATATCTCACCCCTCAGCTGTCACGCAGGCAGAACTGTGGAGCAGCTTCACTTTGCCACCTGGCCTCAGACCTGCAAAACCACATGTGTACGCGCACGTGTGAGAAATACGAACGCATACGGTTTGTTCACCACGCGGGACTGCTGTGATGTTTTCCGAGCTCCACACTTGTGTAACATTCTTTCGCCGCTAAGAATGACATTTATCTGATTTGGGCGAAGTGAATGTGTGAACAGAAGTTCACATTAGGGCCCGACTGATGTGGATCTTTTGAGATTGATGCTGATTAGATGTTTGGCGGAAAAAAATTCAGATAACCGATTAATTGGCCAATTAATAAAACAAGATATATAATCATGAATATAAAATGTGTGATTGATGAATGAATAAAATAATACATATTTACAAAATTTGTCATTTAGTATTTTTCTAACTTTAGAAGAGAGAGACTTTTTGGGGGGGATGGTGCCCTTATCTTTGTCTTGTGTTGTAATGTGTTAATAAGTTAAAAAAAAAATCTCTAAATTTCGCAAAAAATACTTCTTAAAGGAGCTAATATTGGCTGATTAAATTGTCCGTCCGATTAGCGAGACGGATTTCACATGAAGTGCGTATGAGAATGACCAGATGTTTACTTTATGTGTGTTTATGGAAAGACCAATCTTGATATTATGTTCGAATGTGAGGGGGCACACACATTTACATTTTGCGAGTGTCTTCTGGAGAGAGAAAGTGTGTGCTTCTGTGAATGGACCGACAAGGTTGTCTTGTACGTTTATGTCAATGTACATGTTTAGACTTAGACTTAGACTGTGGACAAAAAAAGGTCATATCATGTATCTCAGCAAAGCGATTGGTGAATAACTGAATCTGTAACGCTGAAACCTCACGTAGTGTACAGAAAGCGCATTGATGGATGGAAGTGCTGCTTTTTAAATGTAACTGAAAACTAATTTGCAGTTCAAATGTGGATGTCACTTGTGCAGCCCTGGTTGACAGTTTGAGTATGTTCATGGGGGCAAAAAAAAAAAAAAAAAGAAAAAAAAAGACTTGCCGAGATCTGTCTGGGAGCCCGCCTCATTGGCTTTTGGCAGTTGCACTACCACCTACAGGCCACAGAGAGAACAACCTTTAAGGCATTGCCTGGAAAACAAACATACGAAAAAAAAGAGCTAAAAAAAAAAAAAAAAATGGAGACCTACCCAAAGATTCAAAAGGCCGCTGTCGTCCTGCGAGGCCAACTGGAAGGACAACCCCAACAACTCTGGATAGTATGGGGAGATTGCAGTCATTAAGTCTGAATCACACACACAACATTCCTCCTTATCCCCTGCAGACAGAATGCCTCACCTTCCTCAGATGCTAAAAATGCCACCTCTGACCCCGGCATCCCAGTCGTATTGGTTGGAACTACCTCCACGGACGTCACTGCCGAGAAATGGGCAGAGGGCACTGCATCTAAACCCCCCCCGCGCCCACACACACAAACAGGAGAGACTTTCAACAGCTGTGGCTGTTATGTATCGCCACCGACTCCAGATGAGAGTAAGCCAATATTTGACTTGCAGTGGAGCCTGCTGTAGGCTTGAGATATTGCACCATAACTGTGGAAAGCAGAAGAAGGAAAACACACCACACACTCGAACACAACGTTTAAGTACATATGAACGCCCCCAAATTGTCTTTGTAATGCCCCTCATTGGGATTTGGGGGGGTAAATTCAGCTCTCATAACCAATGATTTAATATACATTTCATTTTCCAAATTCAGCTTCCCATGTCTTTTTTTTTTAAACAAACACAAGTAATAAATTAATCTGTATTAGAATAAACAATCTCAAATTATTTATATCTACAGATTTTTTTTTTCTTCCAAAATTGCAGCCTATAAATTTAATTGATTATGTAGAGGCACAACCTATCTGATGACAGTTTTAAAAAATGTGTACGACTTGAGGCATTTGTACATATCATGATGGGATTCACAAAAACAAAAATCCGATGGAGGGCTACCATTTTAGTATGAGGCTGCCATTTTGCAAACTCTTCCTCATGGGGTCATGACCTGGCCAAATGTGACATACCGGTAGAGAATGTAGGCCGTCTGAAGGTCCATTCGCCGTCGCCCAACTTCAAGCGTTGGTGGTTTCCAGCGGGCTCGTGGAGGTCCCACAGCGCCACGGAGCCGACAGACGTGCCGGCAAACACCAGGGTGGCCTTTCCCGGGCTGAAACAGCAGCACTGCACCTGAGAGAGGAATCGGCAGGAGTTACATCTTAAACTAAAATTGTACAAGTGTACTCATACTTGGCCATTTGAAAGATCCTTGAGCGCAGTTGGAAAAAAACAGGACTAGGAATAATCCACAAAAGGCACCTCTGATTCACAGAGCAGGATCTTCTGGGGTCTGGATGGCTCCCACATGTTCCACACGCAGATGGTGGTGCAGTCGTGATGCTGCACGATATCAACGGGTGAAGTTGGGGGCTTGTGGACAGACAGGAGCGTGTGTCTCTGCGCTTGGGAGAAAAGCACCTGGCTGATGGTGCGACCTGGATAAAAACCAAATTAGTTTAGTTGAATGTCCACAGTCAATACAAGCCGATGTGATGGCACCTGCGCACCGCGGAGAAAAGGCAAGTCGGTGTTGAGTTGCACACTTCCGTCACTGAACGACAGACCATCCGTTTGTGTCGTCTGGCCCTGGAAGGAACTCCGCTCGGCGTGATCCTCCTCCAGCAGCACTGCCATCACCTGGAAATATAGTGGAATGAAATTTCCAAATCGCAAAGGCTACAATTGAGAAAAAAAGTACAAAATTCAATTTGGTTGATCGGTTGCTAGGCTCTCTTTTCTTTCTTTATCTTATTTGATGTATGTTTCATTTTTTTACTTCTTTACTGGCCGGATACTATCAATTCTGCTCAAGAAGTGCAGTCTACAAAATTCCCATTTCATGAAAAGTTAATGTGATGAAACCACAGATTTGTTTGCATTACGGCTATAATCTGAGTTATGATTTACTGTCTAAATTTACACCATACTTGTTTGGTAGAATTTATTGAAGGCGTCATAGTGAACATTTAAAAGAGTGCGAGTCAAAGTGAATTTAAGTCGATAAATAAATTGTCTTTCAAATTCATTCATGGTTCAATTTGCCTTTATTTTCGCATACGACTAACCTATAAAAAAAAACATTTTTGTATAAAAAAAATATTGGATGATTTATTGTAATCCAGATTAATTTATTGATCGTGTTTCTTAACAATACATGGGAAGATGACTTGGAAAAAAATCATTATACATTAAATCGCAATACTGACTATTGGGTTATTTTTCAAAATCTCAAAATCATTCAACCCAAGAAGCGAGTACAAGTACTTCACTACTGTACTTCTGTAGTCTCCATATTAAAAAAAAAAAAAAAATGGGAACCATGATGCAAAAATTGACAACAACAGACTCAGAGAAGCAAGCTCGATTCCCCTCCAAATAAAGACAAGTCACCTGGGAGGCGGTACGCAGGAAGATGGCCAAACGCCTTGAATCGAAGTTCATTCCGCTCATGTTTCGAATTTCATGTGACCGGTTTGGATCTGTGGGTAAAAAGGAAATATTAACACAACAATGTCACAATTTTACATGGTAGTTCTGTTAAACTGTCATAAATGACTCCATGTCATTGCTTTCTTTCACTGCAATCTACCACTGCCTTTTTTTTTCCTAAAATCCTTCAAGTGGTATGTGGGGAAAAAAATCCCAGATTAAACACTCAAGCTGTCTAATGACACTGTTTTTTTTTTTAATCCAGTATCATAAATTTAATGCAAATGACAGATGTTTACATTTTGCGTTTATGCAGAGAGACAGTTTATAATTTCATGAGAACATGCAGAAGGTGCATATCTATAAAAGTGTAGAAAGTCTGAATTCAAGTCAGAGATTTCGTTGTTTGCGTGTTTCCTACCGCCACAGGCGCCGCCGTGCTCTGTGGGATGCTGTGTCCACTTGTCACTCGTTTCCACCTCCTCAGTCTGGACGTCCCGATCCGCATTTTCCTCGTTACACTGCACATAAGCCTGCAGAGGAAGTCATCGGAATTAAGCGACAATGCGGCATCGCAGAATGTGATCAGCAGACAAAGTTTCACACCGACTGACCTGCTTTGTATTTGCAGCTCCGAAGTTCCGAATGTACATGTCATATTCACTGATGGGAGGAAGATCCAGAAGGGAAATTGTAGTGGAGAAATCCAGATCAATTAAGCGAAGTAGCTCTGCACTGCGCTTCCTGTAATCAAAAAGCAAAATTGAGGATTTTTTTTTCCGTTGAAGAAAACAAAAAAAATCAGTGGGGGATAGTTTACAGACTTTCATCTTAACCCTTTCAGGGACAGCGGTTACACTACAGTGGACAGCTTATCATGTTATCAGAATTGGTGCATGACAGGATGAACATCAAGGATGAACATTCGTCGCTTACTTTTGTTTTAATGCCAGTTTCTTGCTGACTTCCCGCTGCTTCGCCGCCACAAAGTCGATAAACTTTCCTCGCTGGGAGCATCGACTGTCCTTTTCGTCGGATCTATTCACTGACAGTGAAAGGCGCATTAGTATCCCACATGCGCTGATTTTATACGAAATCATAGATCAGAATTACCTCTGGATGACTCAGGCTTTTCCTCCCCTTCTTCTTCTCCTTTGCTAAGAGTATTAAAAGAGGCTCGGACTCGTTCATTTTCTTCACCCATGGCTTTTTGGATGGCTTTAACCTCCTCCCCCAGCTCCAGATTGCTGGGCTCTTCCTCGGCATCCTTATCATCCTCGTCCAGTTCCTCAAAATCCTCTTCGTAGTCCTGCCAAAATGGGAGAAAAAAAAAAATCGCACTCGACTGAAGGATGCGCCAAATCCGGGTAAACACTTGTACAAACGGGCATAAAAATTCCTTACCGCTTTCTGGTCAAGTAAACCAATTAGAGCATGCAAGCGTAACATGACACAAAAAAAAAAAAGAATGAAATTAAAGACACAACACAAAGATATGCAAGTGTGGCCGTTATCATCTTACCTCAAAGTCCTCCTCGTACTCGTGTGAAAGCTCATTCTTGGCTACCTGCACGTGTGTAACAAAAACAGACAACACAATCTAAGCAATCTAACTACATATGGAAAAAAAATTCAGGGTTGCTTTCTCACAGATTGGGTTACTGGTCACCATGTTGGATGTGTTCTGTACTGAAGTCGAAGTCAATTTTATGTGAGGTTGTTGCATCAGGAAGGGCATCCAATGAACAAAATGTGCCAAACATATCAGGGAAAAGTAGATTTTTCTTCTTTTTGGAAAACATTGGCAATAAAATTAGCATTAATTTGCACCACAGCAATAACGGTAACCAGGTTACACATTTCTTGGTAGATTTGACTCATCAGGATAGCTTTCACCCTTTGATGGCTCAAAATCTTCATTCCAAAGGGCTGGGCCAGGGTTATAATAGTTCGGATAAGTTTTTATTTCATTTTGACTTTTTTTTTTTTAATTCAGTTAATTCGTTTTTAGAGCATGTATGTTCGTTTTTATTTTGTCATAATTGCCTCGATTATTTTTGATTTTTAGGATACCTGTATGGAGTATTTTTGAGTGCAAGACGTGCGGAAAGTCACTAACTATTGTGCAATCAAGTAAATTCCAGTTCTTAGGACTGTTTGACCTCCCTTCTTATGTATGGATGCACAGCAAATAGCAATGCCTAAATAAGTACTTTGAAAATGAATCCCAAAAGTTCATGAATAATATTAATTGACAAATCTAAAAATGAAGGAGATTTTCGCAATACTTTCATCAAGGTAAGATGGAGTTTCTTTTTTTTTTTTTTAACTTAGTTGTTTTTATTTTATTTATCAATAACAATTATAATAATAATAATAATAATCAATTGTATTTATTTCAGTACTTTTCACTAACTAGAATAATTTTTAAAAATTTTATTTCTGAAAATGTGCTTTCAATTTTTGTTTTCATTATTTCAGTACTTTTCATTAACTACAATAATTTTGTACCGGGTTAGCTATTTCACCCAATTTGGGTTATTTTTGACCCAGCAGTTTTAAGATTATTTGAAGTTGTTGTTTATTTCTACTGTGCAAGACGGTGCTGATCATTAAGAACAGATAAAATAATGGTGAACATTCCAGAAGTAACCAGAGTTGGAATCTTACTGGGTCTTCCGTGTCTCCGGCATCTTTAGCTGCCACGTTCTCTGAACGCATCACGTTCTCCTGGACCAAGAACAAAAAAACGATATAATGTACCAGTATTTAGTTGTCGGTATCGTACAAATAAGTGACTCACTAACCTCAGTTTTTTTTGTCTTAGCTTCATGGCTGTGACTCGGCTTGGATTCCTTGGAGCTGCTGTGATGTCTCTCCGCATCCTCTCTGCGTCGCCTTTCTTTCTGTCTTTCTCTCTCGATTCTCTCTTGCTCACTTCCCTCTTGCCTCAGCCTCTCATCCTGAACGGACAGCAAGAAATCGTCAAACGAGTGTGGGTGAAATGTCCATTCGCAATACTTGAAATGCTTACATGATATTCTCTCTCTTTGTGTCTTCTTTCTCGCTCTTCTTTTTGTTTTCGGTATTCTGTGGGAAGAAGAAATGTTAGAGTACCAGAAAAGTAATTGCAATAATTGGAAACATTTACCTCTTTCATCCCTTGAATGCTTCCTGTCCTCGTGCCTCTCACGTCTGTCTTGGTCGTCCCTTCTCTCTTCGTGTCTCCTTCTCTCCCGTTCTTCTCGCCGTCTTTCTTTATCCCGTTCCTCTCTTCGTCTTTCCTTATCTCGTTCCTCCCTCCGTCTTTCCGTATCCTCCTTTCTCTTAAGTCTGTCTTCCTCTTTCTCCTGTCCCTCCCTTGGCCTCCTTTTATCCCGCTTGTCTCTGTCCTCTCTGGAGTCGTGTGCATGCCTGCTCGTGTCCTCTAGCCTATCTCGCTCTGACCTCCTGTCCCGGTCACCCCTTCTCTCCTCTGCGTGATAGTCCCGCCTCTCTCCGTGATGGTCTCTGTCAGTGATGTAAAGTAACATGGTAACATTACTGTTCGAAAGTCGGCTTTTCAGACATCTGTACCTGAGTTTTTATTTTTGGAATGACTTGAATTTTACTCCCTACCTTTGAAAATGTATATGTAATTTTCATTCCTTTTTTTGTCAATACAGGCTTGTTATAATATTCATCCTAATGCTGACAGAAAAAAATGCTGGGTTAAAGTAAATGGCTTTTGCAGGGAAATTGACAGGATCAACAAATGTTACTTTTGTATTCAAATACATTCCTGTGTCTGTATTTCATTTGAGTAGAGTAGTTGGATCAGTGGTTCTACTTTACCAGAATCAGAAACAAGTGACTGTACTTCTACTGACAACTTATTTAAATGAAGTATAAAGTTAGAGTGCAGTATTTCGCCACCTGTGGTCTCTTTCCCCTCGGGAGTCCCTAGGACGTCTCTCCGTAGAATCCCCACCGCGGTGATGCTTTCTGTCATGCTCCGGTTCTTTCCTCCTGGAAAGCAGTCTTTTCAGCTCGGCAGCAGACCAGGTGTCTTCCATGCTTATTTTCTGAGAAGACATTGTGGTCGTATGAAACGCTTAAAACGAGTGACAGGCTAGCGGGAAAACCGCACGACATCGTCAATTTCTTGACATACTGACGCTAGGAATTAGCTAGCGAACCCGTCAAGAGACACATATCCCCAAATTAAATAATAAAATATAGACTATATACCTTTTCGTGATGCATGCTGCCGTCGCTGTTTGGAAAGGTAGCTCCTATAGGCAGGAAAGCTTACATGTTTGCTAGAACGCAACCATGACGAGAAATTGGCTTAAAAAAGAAAAAAAAAAACCCACACATGGTTTTGCGCATGCGCGGTTATAAGAACCGAGGAGAAGGCGTCCTTTTCCACTTGACAACAGGCTTATTAATCAATAGAAGAGCACGAGCCCCGATCTATTGGAACGTTCTAATCGGGTTTTTTCAAGTACTAATTTTAAAAAATTATAAATGATAACTCTGAGTCATATTATGAAAACTATGTTTTTATGTTTCTCGTTAGGTCCACAATGTTAAACATCTTATCAAATTAATACAATTCTGTCAGTTTAATACTCACACTGAGCATAATAATTTACCTTATCATCCATCCATCCATTATCTGAACTGCTTATCCTCACTAGGGTCGCGAGTTTGCTGCAGTCTATCCCAGCCGTGGACGGGAAAAGTTCGAATCCATGAATAGCTGCAGCCTGCATTATCGATTCGGATAACATGCGTTTCCTATAAAAGACCAGTAGATGGTAGTGTTTTACCATTTGTTTGAGCCTCAACTTGAGTCGAATAGGATGAATAGACGCGTTCAAGCACATGATCCCCACTGCACATTTTGGGAATGTTCATTCCCACCCCTGAGTAAGCTCCGGAGCCGTGAGGCTCTGCAGCTTAGTCGCTGCAACCAGAGGAATGGCTTCGAAGGGCTCCCATTGAAGGTTATGGCTCAGCAACAGCGTGCATGTGAAGCAACCGCACCGCGTTTCCCTTCCGTTTTAGACCGTCGAAACAAGGAGACATGTCCAGAGACAGCATGACGGCCGTGCGAGGAGCTCATGGTGCGAGCACCAGCACCGGCGCTGCGGCGTCGCCCAAAGAGAACGGCCACGCTCCGCCCGGCGCCCGCTTCCATCGCCCCTCTGCGGCGAACACGCCCGACGATGACAGCCCAGTGTCGGCCACCAGAGAGCTGGCGCAGACGTGGGTGCAATTCGCCAAGACCTTTGTGCTCATTTTCCCAATTTACGCCCTGGGCTACTTTGAGTTCAGCTTCAGCTGGATGTTGATCGGACTCGTGGTATATTTCTGGTGGAGGAGATATGCCGGAGGGAAGCGCAGCCGTTTGAGTCGGGCTTTGGCATTCTTGGAGCGGGAGGAGAAGAGCCTCGCGACGGGTCTTACCACCTCGGACCTCCCGCCGTGGGTAAGATGCCCCGGAACGCTGTGTTTTCCACCTGTACGACTATAACTTTGCTTGTCAGCTGACTGGAGGTGTAAAGCTGTGACTGGGGACCAGCTGTCTACGCTCACCCCCCTCACGTAAGGCAGTGACGTTAGACCTATAGTCCAAGTCTGAGCTAAATACGGCAGGGTACAATGTTGAACCAGACACCTTGTTATTTTAGGATTGAGTTTGCTCACTTTCTCTGGTTTAACCACTTTTTGTTATCCCTGTCACAGGTAGTGTCAAAGATGTTGTATCAACACAGTACCAAGCCGAGTACTGTATTGCTGATACAGTAATCATTTTCAGAGATATGGTTTAAAGGACTAAAACAGATATTGGTATTTTGGACTTTAGCCTTTTATTATTGCTGAGTTACTTTTTGTCAAAGTAGCATCAGGTAGTGATGTGTGATACTGCGAGATTTGGTATCCAAATAAATACATTGCCTGTATTGTAGATACTGCTCTCACATCAATACTGGTCTTGGTTTTGCCCCAATAAAAAAATGATTAAAAATATTTTCGGCTACGACACTTTCTGTTTTTATTGCTTTGAATAGAGTAATACCAGATGGGTACGCGGCATTATGATTTGGTATTGTCTGACACCAAGAAAATTAGGCTTTACACATTCAGGATTTTGTAGCCAATCACCAATCAGTAATTAAAAAAATAAAACGACAACTGATCATTGATCCAATCAGAAGAGGGGGCAATCTATCCCATCTATTTAACACTGTACAGACGACCCGCCGCTATTTGCCGCAATTTGGCACATGAATAGCCAAAATTCATGAATAATTGACACCCATTGAAATGCATTCAAAAAAATAACATCCAAACCCTGAAAAAAAAAAAAAAAAAACCATTCAATACATGGAAAAATAGGGGAGACCCAATACCCACACCCGGCAAAACAATATAAAAAAAAATACTATAAATTTAGAAATAATTGGACTGTACATGCTGAGAAACCTTGCATTATTAACGATGGTAGCTCAGAACAACCCTGGAGTGAAAGAGATTGTGTTTGCTGTAATATCTTATTTTGCAGATATTTTCCGATCTACGATGTCCTTGATTGAGTGGGAAATAATCTAATTATAATCGATCACCAATTTGATTTAAAATGCTAGATACAGTATTCTGGACGATATCGATGCAGCCGATCAGACATGTCTGAATTGTAAAATAAATACAATGTCAGTATTGCTGATACCAATACCACCGATATCGATGATACTGGCGTTGACCAGACCAAATGTGTTAGTATGTCATGCCACTATCTGTTACCTTGGTTAAAAAGTGACCTAAAATAGGAAGAGCAGATATACCAGAATACCAGTATACCAGTATCTGTTTTCATCACTTTTTGCAATATTGACAATATATGTTTGGTATCAAGTTGATAACGACTCATACGGTATCACATACAATCTCTGTTTTATAAATCTTGCAGTACATACAGCAGTCAATATATCAATATGTTTTGATCACTTTTTATTCAGGTATTGGCAATGAGTTTACTTTCTATCAAGTTAGTACCAAATCGTGCAGCACCGTACTCCTGTTACCCTGATAAAAAAGTAACTTATTGGGTCCATCCATTTTCAACACTGCTTATCCTGAACAAGGTCACGGGGAGTTGCTGGAGCCTATCCCAGCTGACTCCGGGCAGAATAATGACTAGACCCTGAACTGGTCGCCAGTCAGTCACAGGGCACATGTCGAGACAAACGATCATTCGCACCCACTTCCACACCATCACTGAGTGGGAAACAATCCCACGCTGCCCGTACACAAGCCCGGCGGGTGCACCACTCCACCATCAGCGACTACTTATTGGGTCACGAGGTGACATTTTGCAGTGGCTCTACCTGCACATGCACTGCTAAAATCGCACTTGGTTCAGCTTCCTCTTTTTTTTTTTTTTTTACCTCAATCGCTGCAGCTTGGGGTGCTCGTGTCTCTCACAATTCTATCCACATCCTCCTCATCCACGTTTGTTGCTGCCTTAACCCTGTCCTGACTTCTCACTTTTCGCTTTGTTGCTATTGAGCTCATAACAAGACGAGTCAATACGTCACTCTAAGTAGCTCTTCATGTTCCCGTCGCCGTTTCATCCCCGCGATAACATAAACGCCGTATAAGCACTTTGGCAGGGACTCCGGTGGGAATGACACCATGTTCTGGCTGCTTGACTGCGCGCCACAACTCACACTGCTGCATTTGGGGAGGGTGTGGTCTGTGTAATTGCAATGACTGGATGGCTCACGTTCAATCAGTCCAGTACCTCATTGACCGCTGGAGCCGATCTGGCTAAGCGTCAAAGTGGGGCGAAAGGTGTGAGAATGTCAGCAATGCTGACGACTGCAGCTCGATGGATTTGATTTGTGCTCATTAACATTAATGAACTTTTGCTGTTGTGACAGAGATATTGGTTTGATTTGAATCCATGCTGCTCCTTTGTCCTTATGACATTGGATTTTAGCGAAAAAGAAAAAGGAGCGGGTGTCCACTCCAATTGGGCTGAATTACATCTGCCGGTGCTGGGTTTATTTATGTGTTTGTTTGTGCGCAATGTTATGTCTCCAAGTTTTGATATACGGTGCTGTGCCATAGATTTCTTGTTTTCATCAGCCTTTTCCACAGAGGGTTTTTCTTGTACTTTGGTTTTAGAGAGGCAGACTCTAACCCAGCTGGTTGAACCGGACCAAGATCCTGACCCAATTCTGGGTTGGACCTTCCCGTATGTTCTGAGTATTATTTGATTCTGTCAGTTCCCTTTTTTAACAGGGCTAAGAGAAACCACCAGCAGCAGTATATCTTGATCACTAACAGGACTAGGACTAAAAAAAAAAAAAAAAACACCAATAAGATTGCATTGAAAAATAAAATACAGGCATTACCGTATTGCCACGAATATAAGACGGCCCTGATTATAAGACGACCCCCTCTTTTTCAAGACTCGAGTTTGAAAAAAGACTTTTTGAACCCCAAATTAATTTTTATACAAAAAATAATTACAGTACATCTGAAACAAATGATTATAACAATATATTTGAGAGAAAAAGTATGTTATTTTGCCTCATTCAAATCTTAATATCCGAACATTTAAATATGTAAACTAAAGTGAAATCACATTCGTAAATGAAGGGCTTCTGGTTTTTGAAATGTAAATGACATCATAACTTCTCCTCAGCTGCCGGTTAACCTGGTCGATCTTCGACCCACTTTTCTCCAGATTGTCGCTACGTTTCTCCATTTTTCTGTTATCTCTTCTATTATTTTCTTCTCTTTTCTTTCTTACCGCTATTTTTTATTTTTCTTCTTCATGCTACTGCTATTTTTATTTTTATTCTTCGTGACAGGGGTTCACTTTGGCCTGGGGAGTCAAGTTCAGCATTCGCTTCAATGAGATCTGGCGCCATCTAGTTGAGCAGCGGCAGCCAAAACGCGCCAGCGTTCAGTCAACCCGGAAGTCAGAAAGAAACCACAAGGGAGGGAGAGGGGGAGAAAAAAAAAACACACTTGAACTATCCTCATTTTGAGGATAATTTGAGTTAGGCAAAAAACTCCTGCACAAGCATATGACAGTTACAACAGGTCACAAGACATAAACAATGAAGACGGTGATACAAGGGAGTGTATGAGGGAGGGGGTGATGGTGGGGGACTAGCTTCCGTGCATACTTTCATCAGGGGAAGGTCGAGATAGCAGATGTTGTTTTGGTAGCAGGCTGCCCAAGAATTTAAGACAGCCTTGAGTCCGTGGCTTATGTCTCTTTAGTGGCGTCGATCAGCCAAATCCGTGATTTCTGTCAATATTTGAGCACGGATTCCAGTTTCTCCAAGTTCTTGACCAT